AATGAAAATATCAGCGGGCTAAAAGTAAATAGTTTGGAGAACAAAATTGCACTTTATGCAGATGACGTTCTACTGACTCTTACAGATCCCATTAGATCTATCCCAGCTGTATTTTGTCTTATTAATGAGTACAGTAAATTTTCAGGTTATAAAACAAATTTAAATAAATCACAAATCTTGACAAGAGGCCTAAATGGGCCTGGGGTAAAAAAACTTAAAAAGGAATTTAAATGTGATTGGGAAGCAAGGAACATAAAATACTTAGGGGTAAGACTATCTTTGGACTATAGGGAAATTGGTGAACTTAATTATATAGAAATAGTTACACAATTTAGGAATACCCTAAAAAATTGGAAGGGATTGGAATTGTCCTGGCTGGGAAGAATAGAAGCGATAAATTCTTATTTACTCCCTAAACTGACATTTTTGTTTTGTAACCTCCCGCTGAGGGTTCCATTCCAGACGATACACGGTCTTCAAAAACTTGTTTCGGAATATATATGGCAAGATAAGAGACCTAGAGTATCAATGGAAATTTTACAGAGACATTGGAAGGAAGGGGGAATTTCTTTCCCAGATATACAGAAACTATATATGAACAACATGGTAGCACACTTAATTAAATGTGATAACTTTACAAAGACAAGACCAGTTTGGTTAGATATCGAAAAATCGGATCTGTGTAATATTGAACCTTTATTTCTCTGGTGGTGTGATAGTGAATTTGTAAAAAATTTAAGATCTAATAACCCGATGAATAACACAATGACCTATATTGTAAAATATCTGAAGAAAAAATACGGAACTAAATATATATCAAGAAATGCCCCATTTATGTGTCTTAAATATTATATAAAGAATATAAATCTTCAAGAATGGGAAAAATGTGGAATTGTAAAAATTGCGGAACTTTTAAATGATAACAAAATATTGCCATTTGCAATGCTACAGCTTAATTATAATCTCCCTTCGAAGGAAATATTTAATTACTTAAGAATAAAATCCTTCGTTATGGGAAATGTTTTTTTGGACACTTCTCCATTCGATCAGTTTGTAGCATTCCACTATAAAAAAAAAATTGCATCTAGATTTAATCAATTTACAAGTTGCCAAAGGCAAATAGCTAAAGCATTGGCAATGATTAATTGGGAGCAGGAACTCCATTTCTCATCTTCGGTTGAAAATTGGAATTCGGCCCTACAATTAGTAAAAAGACACATACATGGGGTGAATATACAGGAAGTGTACTTTAAATTAGTATACCGTTGGTACTTGGTGCCCACTCGTCTTCATAGATTTCAACCCACACTTCTACCAGATTGTTGGAGATGTGGTAGGGAGTTAGGTTCATTCTCCCACATCTGGTGGGACTGTGAGGAGTTGAAATCTGTGAAAATAATTTTATCGGACTTGGTGGATTTCATTCTGAAGGTTAAAACTATTATTACGGCACAAATGTTCCTGTTCCATTTAGATCTGCCAAAAGTTAATATAAAACAAAAAATTCTTATGATTCATTCTTTTATGGCAATAAAAATAGTTATGGCCAGAAATTGGAGAAATATGGGTTCGTTAAATTGGCATGATATAGGTATACAAATAGATTATCAACGTAGGATGGAAGCTGGGTTAGCCTCAAATAAGTTATCCAGAGAGAAATATGATGAAATTTGGGCCCCTTGGGTTGGATATCTTAGTAGTAAAAACTCAACCCCTCCCACAGTTAGCCAGTCTTAGGTAGTACCTGTGAAATTGTAAGATTGTAAGAAAGAGGAATTGTGTGTTATTTTCTTTGGTTCGAATGTAGTTTATGTAGACAATGTTTAAGTGAAATATGGCTACACTAGTTATATGTATAATTACATAATTTATTGTAAAGGAAAATATTGTACCATATTGCAAAATCTTATTTATGAAAATGTATATGGATGAATTTTTTTAAAATGAAAAATAAAAATTTATATAAGTAAAAAAAAATAAAAAAAATAAGCTGATTTATGCACAGTCAAACAGTGTCTGTCTGTTTAAATACTTGCAGATCTGCTCTCTTCCTTGTAAATCCTCCCATCCCAAGCAGAAGTTGTTTTGCCTGGCTGCTTTCTTTGTAGCTATCAAAAGGACATTATAGGCGCCCAGACCACTTCATCTCATTGAAGTGGTCTGGGTGCAGTATCCCTGTCCCTCTTAGTGCTGCAATGTAAATAATTGCAGTTTTCGAGAAACTGCAATAATTACATTGCAGGGCAAAGACTGCCTCTAGTGGCTGTCAATCAGCCACTAGAAGCACTTCCTGCTTGCTAGGCGACTATGCATGAGGACATCCAGCCTCCATAAAATCCCCATAAGAAAGCATTGAAAGGATGCATTTATATGTGGGTGGCCTAATGACCTCACCATGCATTAGACCCTCTCCACACCTGTCTGAGGTAGGGTTTTGGTGCTGGAATCGGGTGAGTTTTTAACCCTTTAAATGTCTGGGGATGGGCATAGAGATTTGTATTCCTTACACTATAGAATCTCTTTAGAGTATCAGCAGAGGATTCTAGGTGGGGAAGGCATTGAACTACTCACAGTTTGCTGCATAGGATCTCAATTTCCTCTCCAAAACTGCAGGCCAGTAGATATTTTAATCACTAACCTATATGACAGATTAAAGTGTAATAATGAGGATCAGCCATTATGACTTAAATGTTTACTTTTTAATTTACTGTAGCTGTTGAAATACAGTTGGGTTTATTCACTAAACATCAAAATGTATTTAATTGGATAAACAAGTTTCAAACATATCACGTTTTGAAAGTTTCCCCAACCCTATTTTGCTGGTAGAATTTCTCAAATAACCCGGTTAAGCTGTAGTGAATGGAACATTACACCAATATAACTACTAAGTCCATTTCAGATTATAGACCAAAGTAGCCAAATTGGAACAATATCCTGAACTCAATTTTTTTTTCATTTTTGCCTGTTTTTTGTTTTGTTTGTTTTTTTACATTTTGTATGTTAAACATTTGTCTGAAGTGCACTGTGGCATAGTGGTGCCTATATTTCAGAATGTTTTTTGTAGCTACATACTGTGATCACACTCTCTTGCCATTTGCAATCCAGGTATACATTTAGGCAGTCATGTGACTGCTGTGTAAAATGATTGTTGTAACAACCTTACATTGTTTATGAGCAGGTCCAGTCATTTAATCTCGGTCTCTGTTACAGGCTGGAGGTAGCACTGGACTTCTAATGGACCTGGCAGCAAATGAAAAAGCAGTGCATGCAGACTTTTTTAATGGTGAGGTTATATTTTAATGATCACTGGTTTCTCCTCAATTTATCATATGTACTAGAGTAATATTTTTCTCTTTCAGAATTTGAAGACTTGTATGATGAAGATGACCTCCAATAATATCTAATATGACATACCTCCACAGAATTCTCTGTTGCATGTTAATAGTTTATTTTCAAAAAGAGAATATTAGTTGTGTATTTATATACACTATGTAAATAAATTTATCTTACTGAAGTGATTTTTTTTTAATTTTTTTTATAGTGTTCTATACCAGTGCTTCCCAAACTGTGTGAAAATAATCATGCATGCCATACTCTCCTCTGCTGGCTCTGCAGGAGATCTCCCTCACTGTCCCACTAGCACTGTAACGCTGGCTGCCAGCAGAGGAGGGAGAGAGAGCCCAGGGGAGCTCTGTAACGGCTACCCTGGTATGGTGAGGGTATCAGCCGTTGGGGACATCCTTTTCTTCCCGGCACGTCGCTGTGTAGTGATGGAGTCGCCTATTCCCTTCTGCTGGATCAGGAGTAGAAGTCAAGTGCAGCTCTAAAAAGAGCTGAGTGATTATGCTGCATAGATTCCCCTTTCAAGAACGAGACGAGGCTAAGTTTTGAAGGGTCAAGAAGAACTGAGGGTTTATTGACAGACACTCTCTTTTATGTGATTCTGCCCATGCAAGGGAGACACCCACACAATTAACAGTATAACCAATCAAGACAATAAACATTATGTACATCCCCTCCCCTTAGATAACTAAATAACATAATTTAAAAGGAACATATTTTCCCCAAAGTTTGGATGTACCCCAAATACTTGTTTCTGGGGGACTAACATATTTAAAAATCAGCCCATTCGGTTCAGCCGTTCGGGAGATATGGGACTTAGATGTTTTGACCGACCGCACGGGCACAGTAGCCGAAAACAGTTCCATGAATGCTGGCCCTGCAGTCGGTCTTAGATCGTGTGTAAAAAGTCCCGAACGGTCGGCCATCCGCATGCCATCCTGGGTTCGCTGAACTCCCAATTCGTTGTTGAGTCTTTCTACCGAATGCCTGGTCGTTCGGTAGTTTTGGCGAGGTTTTCCCGAAGGTATGGAGGTATCAGCGGTGTTCGCCTATTTGGGTGTCCGATTTTAGTTCCAGACACTCGACGGCAAACACCGCTGTTCGGGAGTTAAAATGGCCGCGAACACGTGGAAGTCCCGAAATGGTGGCTGGGCTTACAGCTCTCTCGTTTGTGCGGTTTTTCGACGCAAATGCCCATCAAGCAGGGAGGTAAATTAGTCTCAATTTAGAGTCAGGGTGGCCTGTTAGAGGTTAGCAAGCATTCGCATGGAGAATGCTTGCAAAGTCCCGAACTGCATTTTAATCCATAAGTCTTTTCCAGGCAAACTGTTCTTTTTGTTACAAGCTCTAACTTGCATCTCTGCCAGGTTCTCCTCTCTTGAGCTTGGTGTTACCCTGGCAACACTCCATATCTCAACTCTAGCCTCAGGCGCTGCTAGAGCTCATTTTCACCACTTGGAGCACCAGGGATTGCCTTGTACTGTGCCCCTTTCCATGCAAAGGAGGAGGGAAAATAGAATATTAAAACTTATATTAATCTCCCCTCCTACCCACACTAACTCCCCCCAATACCCAGTCCATGCTTCACTAACACACTACAGCCCCTATCCAGGCAGACCCCAGGTAAGCTGTCAAACAGTTTTTAAACAGTTTGACTACTTACCCTGGGAGGGCACCATAACCACTACATAGTACTGTAGTAGTTAATGTGCCTGAATTGCTCTTTAAATCTACGAGTGCCCCTCCAAAGATTAGGTTCTGGATCTGCCCCTAACCGGAACCATTTTCTGCTGAACAGAGCCCTAGAATATGCTGCAGCGCTGTAGATGTAAACAAGAACCAGCTAAGGTATTTATTTTTTGGTGAATGACCATGTCATTTGAAGAAAATCCAAAGCAACATTGCAGTCATGTTAAATGTAAAGAGACACTACAGTCCCCAAAATAACTAGCTTAAAGGGATACTATAAGTGCCAGGAATACAAATCTATTCCTGGCACTATAGCTTCTTATGACTCCCCCTTTTAGTCAGTCAATAAAAGGTTAAAAACCCTTAATTTACCATATCCTTGTGCTAATGTCCCTTGGTGCTGGGTTAGGGCTTCCCCTCCTGCCCCTGGTGAGCGGGTGCTAATGTGCATGCACGGCCTTAGGCCTCATCATAGGAAAGCATTGAATCAATGCTTATGGAAAAAGGTAATGCGGTGTGTAGTCATGCAGAGCATGATGGCGGCCAGTGTCAGTCACTGGACCAAAACCTGTTACCCAGGAGTGCCTCTTGTCACGGTCTGGTAGACATCCACTGGATGCAGACTTAGTGCTGCAATGTAACTGCTAGGTTTTACACTGCAGCACCAAGTGCAAAAGGTACAGTGCACCTAGACCACTTCAATGAGCTGAAGTGGTCTGTGCCTAGTGTCTCCTTATGAATCAGTTTGTGGATAGATCATGCCACTGCAATCTCACTGGTCAATGCTGTAATTAGCAGTTAAATCACTTTGTGCAGCCTAGTGACAGCTTTCCTAAACACTTCAAGTGAGACCCAATGTTTACACCTCCTTTATTGCAGATTGTTTAATTTAGAATTTCTTCTGCATCAATAGCTTGCTAGACAGATTAAAATGTAATTTACAGAGCATGTGAACAGATTGAATAAAAAAAAAAAAATATGCAGGATGTGAGTTACAGCCAGCGGAGACTAGGACTACACAAAACAGGAACAAGTTATATGGCAGAATCCATGGAACTTCAGGGGAATAATCTATAGAATCTCTAATGAAGTTGTATAGTGCCAGGAAACCAAACTAGTTTTCCTGGCACTAAAGATTTCCCCTTTGTCAAGGCCCCCTCCACAGCACTGAAGGTGTTAACCCCTTTAGTCACTTACCTGGGTGCAGCACCCCTTACTAGGGGGCATTTTATAAAAACTGCAATAATTACCACTGCAGGGTTAAAGGTGATAGCTTGCACCCAGACCACATCAATGAGCTGAAGTTGTCTGTGCCTAGTGTCCCTTTGATGTGACTACAATCTTTAGTCTTTTATATGATGTTCAGTGCAACAAACTGATCCACAACATTAAACCCATTGCCAAGTCAAGTGATTATATTGTTACAATGATACCCTTCATGGGTGGTATATATTAGGCAGCAGGTGAACAGTCCTTGGAATTGCATTTTGTGTAAACAGGAGAGACAGGCAAGTGAAATAATCTATGACTGAAAGGCCAAGTCGTAATGGCTAGATGACCAAGTCAGATCCTTGTCGGGCGTTTGATATGCAGCGCTTAGTACTTACCAGAACTGGTGCAATGAATGATGCCAGTTTTAAAAAAGTTAATGGGTGCCCAAGTCATTTTTAGACATGGGGAGTGAATTCTAGCCTGACTGCTCAGAGGTTAGCAACTCTCAAATTAAGCTAAAAATTTTTTTTATAAAGTTGGCCATAATAAAGCAGTTACAGTATATACTCGAGTATAAATCTAGTTTTTCAGCACATTTTTTGTGCTTAAAAACCCCCACTCGACTTATACTCGAGTCACTGTCTGTATTATGGCAACTTAGAGAGCAGCGGCCGTCAGAGCCATGGCAACGATCCGCGTGGCAACCAGACCGCGAGACTTACAGTGGAGCTGACCGGAACGGAGGAGAAGGGAGCTGGCAGGAGCTGCAGGAAAGGTAAGTAAATACTTCCTGCTGGCCCCCCCACTTCACAGCCCATGCCACTGGACCACCAGGGATTAAGATAGCCCCCCTCCCTGACCAGTTAACAAGCATCGAGGGGGGACAAACAAAAAATTAATACAAATGCCCTCCCCCACCCAGTTCACACACACTACACAACACACTCTGCATTATATACAGTGTGTATATAATGCAGAGTGTGTGTTTGTATGAGTGTGTATATAATGCAGAGTGTGTGTTTGTATGAGTGTGTATATAATGCAGAGTGTGTGTTTGTATGAGTGTGTATATAATGCAGAGTGTGTGTTTGTATGAGTGTGTATATAATGCAGAGTGTGTGTTTGTATGAGTGTGTATATAATGCAGAGTGTGTTTGTATGAGTGTGTATATAATGCAGAGTGTGTGTTTGTATGAGTGTGTATATAATGCAGAGTGTGTGTTTGTATGAGTGTGTATATAATGCAGAGTGTGTGTTTGTATGAGTGTGTGTATATTATAAAAATCACAGAATTTCATAGCCCCAAGATTTACCCTCGACTTATCCACGAGGCATAGCATATTTCACAATTGTTGGTCACAAAACTGCCCTCGACTTATACACGAGTATATATGGTAAGTGTTTTGCAGTTTGCTGTGGAGTTGCATTGCCACAGACCAGTCAGTGCCCATGACTACCCCTGTCCATCGCCAATCTTAACCACTGAAGGAAATAAATCACTTTAAATCAGGTTGATGGCCAGGTATGTCTGCAGGATACATTATAGGAAGAATGAAGGCTGGTGGAGTCACTAATTAAGTCCTGGAAAACTTGATCTGGCATTAGCTGTTAAGAGCCAAAGGAATATCCACACATCTAGAGACTGCCCTTCATGGTGCTAGTTTCTCTATATAGAAAAACTGGGATTCTCACATTATAGGGCTACCTTAACATTGCATTCCAGTACAAATTCACTGTGTTAGGATACTATACAGTGCCATATTAAAATTAGACTTCTGCCAGACTATACTGCATGGCACTTAGCCATAAATTAGCCAGTTATGGCAAAATGAATTTTAAATTCTACAGCAGCATGGCAGTTTGTTTTCCCCAAACCCAGGTTCTCAGTTTGCAATTATTCTGACCATTTACGACAGACAAGTCGAGTTAAAGAAAGTTGAGTTTATTTTTAAAGTGCAATTTTTACATATAAACTAAAATATATTACACAAAATAAAAGTGCTGACAGCCAGCACAAGTTGATATCCCCTGCAGAGTACACAGCAGCCCTTATAACACCAAGCTGTACAAATGCACCCATGATGTCTACAAGCATTCCTGTGTTTCCTGCTGTAAGTCAAGCCTTTAGCAGAATGCAGCTAAAATTGTAGTCAACATTGAGGCATGACCATTGCTGTATGTAGCTTATCATGCCCCTTACTGAGACCATTGTAAACATCTTGACAAGTTTAGCCACTTTCATAGGTGGCCATAATGCCCTGTCTTAGAGAAGATTCGAGTCTCCTTAGAAGTCTGCGTCAAGTGTGAATGTGTTGTCTGATGCTTTAGACATTACTCCCATCTTCTGATATTCACCAACTTTCTTCTCAAAGAAGTTGGTCTTTCCTTCCAGTGAAATATTTTCCATAAAATCAAATGGATTTTCTGCTCTGAATATCTAGAAACAAGGTATTGAGACAAAGTCAGATTGCATGGAGTGTACAACCTGAATGGCAGGACAATTCATTGAGCCTTTGCATAAACTACCCAAGTGCATCTGATAAGCCAAATGTTAATACAAGTTCATGGAACCTTGCAAGGGTATGCTGATTACGGAATCCTACATGTTCTTTGTAGGTGCCACACTTCTGGAAGTTATATGGCTTTTTGAAAATCCTAGTTCAGCTGGTGGCTTTCCATTTTTGGTCTATACCTTGCTCCCATGTGAGTGAAGCAGCACTTTAAAGTTGCATAGCTCTATTTTGCATAAAGTTGCACAGCAGTCAGAATACTGGGAATTAAACTATTTTTTAATTTAAACTCTAGCACTAACATATATATACATACACGTTCCAAGTGCAACAGGAAGACAATGTTATGTTTTAAGAAGTTCAGCCATTTAAGGCTTGCACTGGAGTAAGTCTAGCACAAAAGGCCAAAGCTACTACTGTAAGTGAATGGATTTTTTAAGTAAGGATGACATTTACCTTGCTAAAGCCAAGTTCAAGTAAAAGCCGATCTGCAACAAATTCGATGTATTGCTTCATTAGAGTGCAGTTCATACCAATGAGGTTGACAGGTAATGCATCTGTCAGAAATTCCTGAGGGTGATAGGAGCATGTTAGCTTACACTACAATTTCACATCAGCTACCATGTTTAGTTAATTCAAAAATAATAAAAGATGCCAGTTATATGAACCTCATTTAAATTCTAATGTTACATGTTGGTCCATGGTGCACCACATTTATTCAGACTGCAATCAGTAACTTAATATGCTTACCTGCTCTATACGAACAGCATCTGTAATCAGTTCTCCAACTCGAGCCTCTGATGGTTTGTTTACAAGATGTTTAAACATAAGACATGCAAAGTCACAGTGCAGCCCCTGTAGAGAGAAAGTAGTTAGACTGGCATGTAACAATGTTGCCATAAAAAAAATTTGACACAAAATACAGAATTTTAACCAACCTCATCTCTGCTAATTAGCTCATTAGAGAAAGTTAGTCCAGGCATCAGTCCACGCTTTTTTAGCCAGAATATGGATGCGAAGGAGCCAGAGAAAAAGATTCCCTCCACAGCAGCAAAAGCCACAACACGCTCACCTGCAATGAAAGACAGGTGGTTTACACTTAGCTCGTTCCTAGTGTTGGCTATAAGTTTGCCACAGATTTTATATACAGCAAGATGTTTATGACTCAATTTTAGATTAAGTGGAGTGTTGGCATAGAATTTAAAAAAAAAAACTGTAGATCTTGAAGTTTAACTTTTAGCTAGGACTTACCATATGTTGCTTGTCTGTCAGCAATCCAACGCATTGCCCAGTCAGCCTTCTTTTTCACACAAGGTAGAGTTTCAACAGCATTGAAGAGATATTCTCTGAAATGCAGAAATTCAGTACAGTGGTCACAAAATGGGAGTTGAATGTTGCAGCAGTGAGAAGAGTGACTCGTGGTTTTGCAAGTAGAGGGTTAGAATAGGATTTGTATTTTAAGAAATTTGAATCTCAGATCCCAGAGACATTTGCATGTGTGAATACAAGAAAGTTAGTGACTGCAAACTGCACAAATCTATGGTATCAGTGTCCTAATGCAGTCCAAGTATGGAGTCAGTTTTTTACAATAGCCGGTTACCTGGGTACCAGCACCACATTTGTTTTTATTCTGTAGAAGCTAAAGGTCTAGAATTAAAATGTCAGATCCAGAAATGTGCAGGCTGTAAGCCAGCTAGATTTTGCTTCAGTAAATAACCAGGGATAGCAAAAGTCAAGTACTGGCACCACTACAGAAGTGTGGTGGCTATGGTGTTTGGCAATGTAACAAAGTTGTCAACCACCACAAACTAGCAGCAACCCATTGTTAAAGGACAATTCTTGCTGTAGTTTTACAAAGAGCTAGGGCTACTCTTTAGTAGTTAGTGTGATTATAAGAATCTAGCTAGTTAACGACTCAATGGGATAGTGAAAATGCCTGAAGTTCATTTTGAGACTTTTGCTGTACTAGCACTAATTAGAAAAAACCTGCCAGTTGATTCATGTACAGACAAGTCCATAACTATTAAGAGGCATTCATTCTGTCAGGGCTACCTAGATTTTCAAGTGTCTACTTAGAACAGATTGTTACAACCTTGTAGACAATGGTCTTTAAGGAACTAAATAAACTGTAAGAGAGGCCTGTATGCTTAGGTGAGCCTTACCTTTCTTTTGTGTCCTTAATGTAAGTGTCTATAAGAAGACTGTACATTTCAGAATGAATGTTTTCCATCGCAATTTGAAAGCCATAGAAACAGCGGGCTTCTGTCACTTGAATTTCCTGGCTGAAACGTTCCACCTAAGGTAGAGACTTTAGTGTTAGAACTGATTAGCTTCAAGACAAACATTGACACTGGTGGTGGAGATGCCAGTGCTATGCAGCAAACCTATTGCTGACCATTAGTCTAAGGAAAATATGAAATTGCTCAGATTTTACATGCTCCCAATAGTGAGAAGTTTAGCTTATACACTAGAACTAAAAATATATATTATGGCTTGACTCACTCCAGTATTCCCCAACCAGGAATTTAAGGTTGAAATATGATCAATTTCTTACCAGGTTCTCATTTACAATGCCATCACTAGCAGCAAAGAATGCCAAGACATGAGAGATGAAAAACTTCTCATCTGACTTTAGGGATTCCCAGTGTTGGAGGTCTTTGGAGAGATCCACCTATTGAAAGAAGAATATGTAAAAGCAGTCTAACAAAACATTGTAGCAAGGTTGAACCACCACAGAATGTATGTGTATTTAACAAATCTTACCTCCTCTGCTGTCCAAAAAGAGGCTTCTGCCTTCTTGTACATCTGCCAGATATCATGGTATTGAATAGGAAATATCACAAAGCGATTTGGGTTGTCCCTCAGCAGAGGCTCATCTTGATTAGAGTGAGCTTGTGTCTTTGGCTTTACCTATGTGTAGAGGGAGGTTTGTTATAGAAGCATGTCAGATGTACATTAGAACCACTAGCTTATTTTAAGTTATGTAATATATAGTTAGTGCTCTGAGAAACAGTCTAGATAGTTAACATGTTACATTTCAGTTTTGAGTGTAGAATTAATGTTACTCCATATCTGTGCCAAAAGGGAACGCCATCAGGTTTTAACTTCATGCTGTTGGGAAGTACATGAGTGTCCTGTAGCAGGCATCCTTGTGATGCAGACCAGGCAGTCACAGGAAACTCCTGCAGCATGTAATTTTACAAGATACGGCATTTTTTCCCCATGGGCTACACAACCTTTACAAGTTAGAAGGAAAAAAAAAAAAGTGTATTCTAAGTTACATCCGGCAACTTTGTCACATTAAATTAATGTAAATACATTTACTTGCTATAAGGTTGTGCAGGGGTGTTAAGGCACTGATGAAGGGCCACGGTCTCCCTTTATTAGGACTCGTTACACTTTACAAGTTTTATCATGGCTTGTTTCTAAAGAGAAACCCTCTATGGACCACCATTGATGCAGAGTGTATATTGTGCACCTCAGTGTTTCAGATAAAACTTGAATGATTTCCTCTAGTGTAATGTGCTAGTCTGCATGCTTATTAGTAGTTACTAGGCAAAGAGTAGTCATATATAGTTAGAAAACTTACAGGACTAGTTAGTAGAAGCTGACAAGATGGAAGTTATTCGCCCCCTCCCCCCCAAAAAGTGGCGCCAAGCCAGGGAGGGTAAGAGACAGTTCCTCTACCACAGCTCTATGGGCGCCAGAAACGAGGATTAATCCATCGCCTGTAACTTCACGCCCAAGACTAGTTAATAAAAGCACTGTTTTAGTAAATATGGCGATATTCTCACCGAGTCAGTCTCTGCCTCCTCGAAGATCTTGCGGGCTGTCTTACTAGCCAGGATGCGGGTGTTGCTCAGGGAAGGAGGCTGCAGGAGAGAACACGAGGTTAATTTACTATAAGAGCTCTATATAAAACGCAGACACTCCATCCCGGGGACCGGCGCAAGACTCACCGTGTTCTCCTTATCGGTCAGACTCAGACTCTTCATGGGGGAGACGTTCTCGTTCAGAGCTCCGAAAGGCTTGCGGATAGACTGCATGGCTCACAGCGGACAGGTAAAAACACTAGATAAGTATAATAACAATAATAACTTAATAAAACACTAACACGGAGCGCTAGGCGGGATGCTGGTACTCCACAGGGGTAAAGCGGGACTGAGCACAGACTCTGCCATGCCGATTTATAGTCCGTTCGCATTTGGCGCCAGGAGAAAAACAGCCAATCAGAATCAGCCCTCAACCCCCATTCTGAACGCTCGTCCAATCAGAAGCTTCCAGTGAAATACCAGCTGTCCAGCGATTAGTTTTGTAAAGTGCGCGCTTTTACACAATGCTGCCATTCGCATTGCATGGGGGGAGGGGGTTAATATATTAATATATCCATATATATATATATATATGGAAATATCAATTTATCTTACAAAGTGTACATATTACTCAGGGCAGTCTCTGCACAGACTCAGACTGATGGGATTTGGATTATTTTATTTGAATTTGTTGGGGAGAAAGGAGGGAGGGGTTGGGTTGTCCCACCCTGTTGTTACACAAGTCATCCAAAAAAAATAAAATGAAAGCTGTTGTGTAACATTTTTTTTTTTTTTGTATAACTTCTCATAATATCTGGCCCCAGTTTCAGTCAGTTATCATTGGCCATGCTGTGTTTAAAGTAACCCACACTGGCTAGAAAACCTGTAATGCCACCCAATGTGCCAGTCATAGCCAAATATGTAATATCATAAAGTAAGGATATTCTGTGATTAAAATAAACAGAATGAATGGGTTTACCTCCTGTAAGTGCCACAGCTGTGAATAATGATTGACACGTTCTGACTCTCGAAGGTTCTATTTCGAATTCTATGTGGAACGTTTTTGCAATGTGAGTTTTGCAATAATTCCAGGTGCCCAATAAACCCAGTATTATATTAGACCTGTTTTTCACTTCAGGTTAGTAATAATTACATTGTATCTCATGCAGCATTGCCAGACCCAACATGTCTTCCTGGCCTTATATCACTCCTACATACTGGAGGGCAGTACATTAAGATCAATAAGTGATCATGCAGCTCTAGTGATTCTATATTATTTTATATACTATGGACTGCATTTACTGTAGGGCAGAACTTTTAATTTAGCAGTCTCCCTGCAGCATGGTGAATTCATATCAATGTCCAGGGAAATAGAATAACGTGGTGAATGTGGCAAACCCTTACCTCCTGCAATGCCTAGCTCTAAGGAAAAATGATCCTGTCCTAGTGAATGCTTTATCATATTTTCATGCAATTGGGCAGTGCATGAAAAGTGCCACCTTGGAGCATGTATTATTTAAGTGTTGTCAGACCAGGCAGATATGAATGTAAATGTCAGGGATATATCTGATGTAATAGGACTGCAGCAGGCATGAATTTATTCTGTGATTATTTTATTGTGATTTATAGCTCAGTGAAGTGCTGACTGTAAGGCCAGCTGGCGCCTGCATGGTTAAAGGGCTCCCGCCACTTGTCAGCTGATGACCTGTCAGGTCTATTCAATACTTTGGCGCGCTCTGTGCCCTTGGCATGAATGGAAATCCCGGCATCCTGCCAATTCTCGCCTCCCATTGGTGGATGAGCCGGCGCCGCTGTCCAATAGGCGAGAACGTGCGTTTCAAGCCTCAAAGCACAGATTGAAAATAAAAGGTGCAGCTGTCTCCCGCTTTGCGAGAACAAAGCAACAGTATGGAATGTTTGATATAGCAAATGATTCCATAAATTGTCACATGAATTATTATTACTCAGGATTGGATTAGAAGGATACTTTATTATAATTTTTTTCTCCCAGGGTTAGTGATGGTGGTTGAAGATAATTTGAGATTTATTTATTTTTACTCTTTTATGAAACTATCAGGGTTAATTGATAAAGAAATAGTGAATATAGATCTGCAAATTGTAGAAAATAAATACAATTATTTAATAATAGCTGGTCTGAAAATATTCTCCAGCCACAGTTTGGCAATATTAGCCTAGTTGTGCCATTTGGACTTTAGTTCACTGCAGTTGGGAGATAAGTGAATACACTGGATAGATGGGATTTGTTTATTAAACAGTGAATAGTGATCAATTGAAAACCAAAAATGGCAAAATTCAAGATTAAATAGCCAAGCTATGACTTTAGCTGTATTGGATAATTCTTCTAAATTGGTTATTTTGACCTACATTTTGCAATACCTGTCTCTTTGAAGTTTAGAGAATAAATCCCACATGTGTGCATTTTCAGGTATTTTAAAGTAAATTTTAACATTTTCGAACAAAACAGCCAAGTTGAGCACTATCCCCATGTCCGTTAGTTTTTCTGTTCCACTATATTGGCCTAAGATTGTAAATTCATAATGAAATGACTTTTGAATTCTCAACAATTTGTAATGTAGTAAATAAATAATGTAATTATGTGTTACTATGATACATTATCTATCTACATTCTTGCTTATTACTCTGGACATGTTGTTTATTTTGTAACATTTTTTGTTACACAGTAAATCTTTTAGTCTAAAGTAACCAGTTGTGAATGTGTGTGTGACCTGCTATATAGAAATGCTCTGGTATTTTATTACCTGTAGTACAGTTCTTAGAATGGTATGTATTTTTTGCCATGGATAGTTTTAGTATTCAAATGTATTGGATTTATATGGAGGAAATTTTCTAACTAGACATAAGTGATTTAAAAAAAAAAAAAATGTTTCAAGGATCAGGCTAAGCAGAAAATGATGAATATTTAGTATAGTAAATAATCATGTTTAATAAAGGAGTCAAACATCTCAAATTATCTTCAACCACTATCCATAAACCCTGTGGAAAAAACATTTAACAATATCCTTCGAAACAATCCTGAGTAATTAAGACCACAGTATTTAGAATTATTTTCTATATTACACAGATATCCTCATCCAATCCCTGGTATGCATTAATATTGCAGGAGGAGGAAGTATAGCATTACCATAATATTAGCAGATATTCTGGCATCTTGGCCTCTAAACCACGAGTAAGCCGTATCACAGTAACGTGTGAATCAGCACCCACAGACTCTAGGCACCATAACCACTGCAATCTGTTGAAATAGTTCTAGAGCCTACTGTGTGTCCCATTTAGTGAAAATAAGCACACACTTCACACATAGCCAACTCGTATACCATGCACTCACTGCTTCTCAGGTGTTTATAGTTAAAGGGATTTGCAAAAAAATATATATTTTCAGTTTAGATATTTTTGCCTAAAACTTGAAATTCCTTTGAATTCCTGACAAGTTAGACTTTTGACACTAAATAATTTTTTTTTTTTTTTTTTAAAGTGGTTCTTGAGTCTATAGAGTATTCCTGTAGGCTTTTTAATGTAAACATTACCTTTTCATAGAAAGGGCAGTATTTCAATTGTCACTCAGTTGACCAATACAGGTGCTTCCTAGTCCTACGTTCAGTATCTCTACACTCTGCGTGGAGGTGCTGAATGTTCCCCATAGAGATGTGTTATTGTGCCATGCTCGAATAATTGCCTCCCAGTGCATTAACTTGGCAAAGCATTGGATTGGCTGAGAACATCAAGATTGATTATCTCAGCCACAGAGACGGGACCTTTGGCTACGATACCAGCATTAAAAACACCTTTTCTGTGCGATCAGATGGGTAGCTAGTCACCTAAATAGACACACATACTGAAAGACACACACACATTTTCTTATCCATTCACAAATATTTTTTATTTTAATTTAAGTCCACACAGCCTCCCTACCTTTGGGAGAGCTGGAGTGGATCCTTTCTTTGGAGTCCAGTGTGGTTGCTGTCAACTTCAAGCTCTTTTTGCTCTGCTCCCTCACATGTGGCTTAGTGATGCCAGGGTTGGAGTGAAGTCCTATCCTGGCACCACAGCAGGGTGCGTGAGGGAGCAGATGCAGAGCAAGAGGAGCTTGAAGATAACCACTAATTCGCAAGCCACCTCCTCCATTCTCTCTCAGCTGGCTGTCTCGGAGGAAACGAACTGTATTCCTAACATTTTAGTGTCCCTGTATTGTGTGCCATAAAATTAACAAAATAAAGCTTTTTTTTGTATTTATCTTTTTCCCCGTCACATAACGGCAATACCTGTGGAATGTTCTACTAATCTACTAAAACTGTATCTCCGTTTTAAGTGGCAGGCATGCTGGGAGTGCAACCTGGCCAAAGGTAGGCGGTAGAGGGAGATGAGCCAATAATCATGCAGACTTGGAGGAGGTGCACCTGCGAAAGAGTAACTTTGTTTTTGGTGCTAAATTTGAATTTCTTCTTTTAGCTTGTAGCGAATGTGATCTTCCTCTACCTTATGGATGTAAAAATAAGATATGCAACCAGTGCTCAGCAGAATCATTGAAGAAAGCTAAACAAAAAGAAATGCATTTGTTCCTGAGCTGGTTTTAAGAAAATCTTTCCCACACCTGTGAAACTTTTAAGGAATCAGCGGTTAAATCGAGAGAGTCTGTATCTGTCCAGACCAGAGCTGGCAAAAGAAGAAAAAAAAAATGCAGGTAGTCCTTTCCTTCTGAGTTGTCATCTGGTGAATGCTCCTGCTCTTCTTTGTCCGAAGTTGCTAGTCAAGAATCTCCCTTGGATTCAGGTTTCCCAGCAGAGGAACTTAATACATCTATTAAGGAAGTTGTGGCCATTTTGGGGAAGGAGGAAGAGAAAAGGGAAATGTTTTACCATGCATCCTAAGCTTATAAAGCTTGCTCATCAGAAATGGAAAAGCCTTGAAAAAAGAGCTTTTATTTCCAAACATTTTAATCAGATGTTCAAATTACAAGATCCTGAGAATTGAGAAGAATTACCTTAGGCAGATGTGCAGATAGCTGAACTATCTAAGAGAACTATCATTCCCATTGGTGAAGTGGCTGGTAGGGCAAATGAGCTGAAACATTTTGCAGGAGTATATTTCAATCATCAGCGTTGCAGAGTAAAGCTTTTATTGCCCGAGCTTCAGTGGCTTGAGCTCAGAACATCTGGTTGCAATCTTTGGAAAATTGTCTGTTGGACGGATCGGACAAAGAAGTAAGTAATCTCCTCAGAAACATCAGATTGGTCAATAAGCTTTTGTGTGACATGACCAAAGAAGTCCTGAAGCTGTCGGCCCAGAACATGGGTTTATCGTCCGTTGCCAGAAGGGCAATATGTCTTAGAATTTGGATGTCTGACACAGCTTATAA